GAGAGAGAGAGAGAGAGAGAGAGAGAGAGAGAGAGAGAGAGAGAGAGAGAGAGAGAGAGCACCAGGGTGGGGTGGTGACAGTTACTGCAGTACCAATTTCTACAACCTGGTAGAGGTGTATAGCCGCAATTCATAAAGTCCATTGTCCAAGGAAAAGGGTGTTGGGTGTCTCGACCACACCGATACTGAGCATTTTGACAATTTCAACATTCTGGTAGTTGGATATAATGGGAGTTTCACGGTCCCCGTGTGGTTTCAAAGGACTGCTGGGCACAGCAACAATTTGTACAGCCTACTAGTACCGGGGTAGACGGACAAGTTTGGCGTCATTCCTGGTCGGCGTAAAAGTGAAATAAAAGGTGGGGTAGAGTGAACTATTATTCCGGAAACAGTGGCAGTTGGACTGCACAAACTAGATGCAGCACCATCCAGCATGCACAGTTCAGAAGTTCACTCACCCTCCTCGCCACATCGCGAACAGCATTTCACGATACTTATCTATCATGGTACAACTTTTTATAAAAAAACACAAGGCTCGTACCAGACCTGTGGAGAAAACATGTTCACAACATGCCGTTATCGGGCGGCTCAAGCCTATCGCCACCCTTTACTTCCCTTGAGACGGTTACCGTTGAAAACGGGATTTCGCATGATAGCCTGTTCCTAGAAGTTCCGTCCTGAGCCAACGGGAGATGTCGACTAATAGTGAGCAGAGGACATGGAAAATTTGAGCCCGGGCGAGACTGTTCCAAGAAGCGGACCAAGAAGAGAGGTTTGCCTAAATCCGACAATTGCCACGGAATTACTGATTTAATGAAAATACGGGAATTTGAAATGTTGGGCTGCAACACTCTGATGGGTGATTGGAATTCGCGACCGACCGTCCGCGAGAATCGACAGCTTACTGATTTGGACTGGACATTGGAATGAACCAAATGGTTGGTGGGGACAAGAGAGAGGTCGACTGCTGAAGCGAGTGGAGACACGGACATCTATGCTACTTTGAGATCACTCACGAGAAATTAAAAGATCGCTCCTTTTTGCGCATCTTTCCATATGATCGCGGACATTTTCCCGTACGATTGCGGAAATTCGGACCTAAGTGCCGGGGGAAGGGAAAATATGCGGACGCCGATCCCAAACTTATTGTGATCGGCTAAGAACCAAAGGGGGCCGCGCGGACCTTAATTTCCATGAACANAAATGGTCCAAAAAAAAAAAAAAAAAAAAAGTTGTTCAGTTTATTTTTCTGCATAACATAGAGTTTTTTCGGATTTTTTTGATTTTTGTTTTTTTTTGGCTGCGACCTTCCCTGATCCTTGCACGGCCGGGCCTCCCGGGAAAATAGGGTGACCCGGGCGGCCCGGCTGGTAGCCTAGCTTTTTTTCCTTTTCTTTCCCTTTTTTTTCTTTCTTTTCTTTTTGTTTTCCCTTTTTTTCCCTCTCTTCTTCTTCTTCTTCTTTTTTTACCTGTGGCAGCATCAAGAAAAGAATGATTCATTTGAAAAAAAAAAACAAAAAAAAAACGGAAAGATTGAACCCCTAGCATCTAGAAGACTAGGGGCATACACACACGAGGACTTCTTACGTAAATGTGGTCAGATGCGTTGAAGATGATGCTAGTTTGAGTACCCTCTAAAATTTATCCCGGGTAGATCCTGTGTAGCGCATGTAGTACCGCGCGGTACCACCCAGCCCACGTAATGCCATGCTCGACATAGCAAGTGGGCCCAGGTAGTGCCACGCTGGACAGTACCACGTGGGCTCATATAGTATCACGTGGTACCACCCACCCCAGGTAGTCCCAAGCTGGACATACCAAGTGGGCCCATATAGAATCACGTGGTACCACCCAGCCCAGGTAGTGCCACGCTGGACAGTACCACGTTGGGCCAGTATCACGTGGTACCACCCAGCCTTGGTAGTGCCACGCTGGAGACTACCAAGTGGGCCCATGTAGTACCACCCAGCCCAGGTAGTGCCGCCCTAAGGGCCAAGTTGCGCCTACACACACACACAAAGAGAGAGAGAGAGAGAGAGAGAGAGAGAGAGAGAGAGAGAGAGAGAGAGAGAGAGAGAGAGAGAGAGAGATGACCCAACTTCGGATTGAATCTGTGTTGCAGGACCGGTGCAGCTCGAGGTGATTGAAGTTTTTAATTCTTTTGGGCTATTGATTATTGGGGGAATATGGCTTCCACGGCGTTGTCTATGAGCAGTCTTTCGGCGGCCCTTCCTTCATGCAGCAAAGGGCTTGCCTCCTCGAGGAGGCTCTCTCTCTCCCAAAGTCGGGCTTCTTCTTCTGTGTCTCTTTCTTGCTGTCGGTCAGGCACCACTGGACGATCGTTCCTGAGGAGACCTGCCACGAGGCGCGCGCAACCTCTGCGTGCATTTTCAGGACTTAGCATTACCAATCCCTTAAACCTGCGAAAAGGTGAGTGAATTCCCAGTCCTCTCTCTCTCTCTCTCTCTCTCTCTCTCTCTCTCTCTCCCCCTCCCACCCATTCTCTCCCTCTACCTCCGTTCCCCTGTTCTCGTTCTTCCGTATAGCCGGCAAGGAATCTTAGTCGTCAATCCCTTGAACCTGCGAAACCGTGAGTTCACCTGTCATTATCTGGTTATCGCTCTTTCCTTCTCTCTCCCTCATTCTCCCTCCCTCTCCCTTTGTCTGCCTCTCCCTCCATCTCTCTGCCTCCCTTCCACGCTCGGCTTTGAGGCAAGGAATCCCAGAGATGCGTGTAACTCTTGTAGTGTTCAGCGTGCGTGTTCTTACCAGTGACCCACAAAACTAATTGCAGCACGTCAGGCTTGTGCAAAGGACAGGGAGGAAGGTGTGTATGTGTGTGTGTTTCTGCGTGTGTGTGTGTGTGTGTGTGTGTGTGTGTGTGTGTGTGTGTGTGTGTGTGTG